TCGAGGTAGGGATGGAAAATACGGTTCATCAGGTCCATGAAAACTGCTGGAGCATTGTTGAGACCGAATGGCATGACGACGAACTCGTAATGGCCGTAACGAGTTCTGAAAGCGGTCTTAGCGATATCTAACTCCTTAATCTTCAGCTGGTGGTAGCCTGATCGCAAATCAATCTTTGAAAACACACAGGCTCCCCTCAGCTGATCAAATAAATCGTCGATCCTAGGAAGCGGATACTTGTTCTTGATTGTCAACCGGTTAAGATCCCGGTAGTCGATACACATGCGCATGGATCCGTCCTTCTTCTTGACAAAGAGAACGGGTGCTCCCCAAGTTGACACGCTCGGTCGGATGAAACCGAGTCGTAATAACTCCTGAATCTGCGCCTTTAGCTCCTGCAACTCCTTAGGCGCCATACGATACGGGGCTTTGGATACTGGACCGGCTCCTGGAATGAGATCGATAGAGAACTCCACCTGCTGGTTAGGCGGTTCTCCTGGAAGCTCATCCGGGAACACGTCCACAAACTCACGAACAACTGGAACATCGTGAGGTGATCGTGCTTTCTGAGAATCATCGACAAGGCTCACCAGATAACCCTGGCAGTTGCCTCGTCGCAGCAACTTAGTGGCTTTCGCCATCGAAACAACATGAGGTAATGAACGATTCTTGCTGCCAAAGAAAGTGATTGAATCGTCTCCCGGAAGATAAAGAATGATCTCCCGGTCATGACATCTGATATCTACATGATAAAAGGATAGTCAATCCATTCCGAGAATGAGGTCAAAGTCCCCCATCTCGAGAACAAACACGTCGGTAGACAATGAACGATCACCGATGGAAAGGCTTAGATCTGAAGCTTTAGCTGAGGTCACTATCTTTCGTCCCGAAGCTAAACTCACTTCGAGAGGATCGACAGCGGTAACGACATGAACTCCGATGGCATCAAGACATCGTAGTAAAATGAATGAATGCGTTGCTCCAGTATCGAACAAAGCGAAAACAGGAATATCATTAAGCACCACCATCCCTGACATAGTACCTGGCTGCTGTGCTGCTTCGGCCTGATCAACCGCGTAGACTCGGGCCTGCTGTCTGCCCCTCTGCTGCTGCTGCTGAGGCGGT